GTTAAGTGGTGAATAACTTTTGTTTTAAAAGACAGGCATAGATTTCTGATCAAAAATGGGCTTAAAATCAAGAGAAAGCTCTATGTAGCTTAGTTTTTCGATATGACATTGTCATTCATGTGCATAAATTAAATTTAACCCGTTTTTAGAGAGAAATTTTGATGTAATTGAAAACTCAATTCACATAAAATTTCTCTCTATATATATATTAATTAACATTTTGTATAAATTTTATATATTTGTTTTTTAAATATATAATAATAAATAAATTTCAAACTTAAAAAATAAGAAATGTTAAGTTAAAAATTATACCCAGCTTACGCGATACTAAGCTGCAGTAAAATGATGAAAATATATATTCAAGTAAATCCAAAGTAAATTCAACTATCACACTCTGTTCGGTAAAAGAAATAAGAATTTGCACAAATATTGCAAAAGTCCATTGTACGAAGGTACAAGTTCAACTTCTAGAAACATTACGATTTTTCTGAAGCGGGAGACGTGAAAAATTAGCAATGCCTTCGCCAGGACACGAACCTGAACATCATGCGCCAAGTGTGAAGGCATTCTTGAGGAGGGAGAAAATACTCTATATATTCTGCTCTTTTAAAGGACGACTGGGGATAACAAACTTAACAATTTCAGAGTGAACACAATGGCATCACTGTACGGAAAAACATTTTTATCTCCAGCACGCGAGACTGTCCATCGGAAATTCTAAAGATATGCTGTTTTCAAATGTTTCGTGGTATTACAGTTGAATTTAATTTTATGTGGTTTAAGTGCGAATCAGATTTTTTTCTTTTTTTAAACTTTAGCCTCTTTTTTTTTTTTTTTTTTTTTTTTTTTTTTTTTTTACAGTTTTCTTCCGCTTTTGGGATTCGAAAAATCTCTACAAGTGCTATTTTCAATAACCTATCTTCGTTACCAGTCGATATAAACAAACTTGTTGGTTGAGTGACATATTGTAAGCAAACCAACAATTATGTTATAAATTGATAGTTTGCGCCGTTAGGTGGCGCTACGAACGTCTTGTCTCTGTTGATATTCTGTAACTTAGTTTAGTTTGATGGAAGAATGAAGGTGTTAAGCCTAATAACGATGAAGGCGTGTGCCTAATAATAATGATTGTAGCCATTGTATAATATTGTAAATAAAACGTGTGTGTATTAATAATGAAACGGAATGATCACTTACCTCTGGAATTAATGCTCTCTGATAGTAACGATATTAGTTACTACACATTTCTGGTGCTAGAAAACCCGGGATTCCAGTGAAAGAGGAAGAGGTAAGTGAAAAATTTGAAAGTGATAATGAATAAGCTTGTTAAAAATATAAAGAAGCTCACAGTGCTAAGAATTTAGTTTAGTAGAGACTAATCATGATGTTGTACAATTTCTGTGGATAGATGATTTGCCAGATAATGTATCTGATATTGAACCAAAAATTCTACGAATAACTAGAGTCCTGTTTGGTATTACTTCCAGTCCGTTTCTTTTAGCTGCTGTAATTAAATTCCACTTGAAACAGTGTATCCAGATACTTGCTTGATGTTAAATGAATCGATGTACGTCGACGATTTATTATCAGGAACTCCGAATGAAGAAGAAGCTTTCAGAAGATCTAAAGAAGCAGACTGCATAATCAAAGAAGCAGGAATGAAACTTCGAAAATGGAGAAGTAATTCTGTTGAGCTTGAAAACCTGTGGTCAGATTATGGATTTGAAACTTGTACACCAGACGACACATATACTTAATCAAAGGTATTGGGAATGTTATGGAATACTCAAAAGGTCGTTTTTAAATTTGACGTCAAAAACCTATTAAACTTTGTTTTGAATTCTGATGATACTATACGTACAATAATAAGAACTGCGGGAAGAATATTTGGCGCAGTGGGTTTTCTTTTCCCCTTTACTGTCAGGCTGAAAATAATTTTCCAAGAATTGTAGGAACGAGGAATTCATTGGGATGAAGAATGACCTCAAGAATTAAAGGAAACCTGGAAGAGCTGGTGATCTGAAGTAGAACTCCTGACAGAATTTTCAGTTGCAAGGAAACACTTTCCGGCTAATGTGGAGATGATTGGAGGTACATTGCAGTTACACATATTTTGAGATGCCAGCCCTAGAAGATACGGTGCAGTAGAGTATCTCATTTCAAGAAGGAGAGAACATCAGCACTAGTTTTGTGATAGCTAAAACCAGAGTTTCTCCTCTAAAGAAACTGACACTACCGAGATTAGAATTAATGGGTGCAGTGATTGCAGCCAGCATTGCCGATTACCTGAAAGATGTATTCAAAGTGAGCAATATTTTACTTTGGTCAGACTCTTCCGTTACATTGCATTGGATAAAAGGAACGGTGAAGGATTGTAAACCATTTGTATCCAATAGTGTAGCTGAAATAAAGAACTATACCGATTCTCAAAACTGGAATCATTGTAAGGGATCGGATAACTCAGCCGATATACTCACGAAAGGAAAAGGTGTTAATGAAAGACGTTAAATGGTGGCAAGGTCCTCCATGCTTAATGTTATCAGACTGTTTATGGTCTCGAAGCAATTTGAGTGAAGTTAATTCTGAAGACTTGAAAATTGAAAAGAAAACTACAGTGCAGTTTGCATGTAATGTCACACCGACATCAGAACCAGTTCTAGATATAGAAAAAAAATAGCAAATTGTCAAGATTGTATCGAATTACAGCTTGGATAAAACGCTTTATACATAATACGAGAAAACTTGGTGAGAAGAAAGAAGGTTTCTTAGCGGCGTTAGAACTGTCAGAAGCAGAAATGTATTGGGTGAAAACTATCCAAGCAAAGCATTTTGAAGAAAAAAGAAATCAACTGCTTAATGATCAGCCAATAGCAAGGGTATCGAAACTTATTGAGTTTGATCCAGAACTACATGAAAACAAACTTATATGCATAAAAGCAAGACTACAATTTTCAAAATGTGAAGTGAAAGAAAATCACCCATGGTTAATTCCTTGAGGAAACAAGTATGCAGAACTCTTAATTATAGACGCGCACAATAAGGTACTACATTCAGGAATAGCTGACACACTACGGAGCAAATTTTGGATTCTCAGAGGAAGACAGAACGTTAAATTTGTGCTCAATAAGTACTTAATATGCAGGCGATATAAAGTTCGCCCTGCAGTGCAAGTCATAGCTTCGCTTCCAGCAGATCGTGTTCAAGAATCTCCTCCATTCGATGTGATTGGCATTGACTTTGCTGGCCCGTTGTTTACAAGGGAAAACAAAGAAAAGCACTATATTTTATTATGTACGTGTGCAGTCACGAGAGCCATTCATATAGAAATAGTTCCTAATTTAAGTACAGAAATGTTCTTACTTGCATTTCGAAGATTCATTTCACGAGGCGGAATATGTTCTACTATCTACTCCGATAATGCGAAAACTTTCAAAAGAGCAAATCTAGAACTGAAGGAAATATGGAAGAAAATTAACCACCAAGAAGTTAGAGGATTTTTCGGGAAAACTGGAATTCACTGGAAATTTATCGTTGAAAGGGGAGCCTGGATTTTATGAACGTCTAGTGAGAACAGTGAAAACAAGCCTCAAGAAAATAATTGGGAAGTTATCTATTTCAACCGAAGAACTGAGAACTGTCTTAACAGGAATAGATAAATTCAAGACCGATTACCTATGTGTACGGTAATTCACAAGAGTTTATCTCCTCCTTTAAGTCCTTCGCATTTTCTTGTGGGGAAACATTTGATATCTTTACCACCGGTAAAATATGATGGAAATGTTAATGCAGATAGAAATAATATGATAAAGCGATACAACTATCGGCAGATTTGTTAGATCATTACTGGAAAAGATGGAAAAGCGAATACTTGCTAAACTTAAAATCTGCAAACTGTATGACACCAATAAAGGTCAAAGGAGACTTTTAAGATGAATAATGCAGTCTTGATCGGAGACAACAAGTTGCCTAGAAATATGTGGAATTTAGGCAAAATTGTGGAAACGTATATTGGACGCGACGGTAAGATACGATCGTGCAGTGTAAAACTTAAATCTGGTATAATGAAACGACCAATACAACTTTTGTATCCATTAGAACTTTCAAAATAGACTATATATGCTGAGAAAATAAGACAATTTGAACTTTAAAATTTCATTTAGAATTCTATATATTCTTATTATTAGTTATTGTTTTGTTATCTATTATTATAGTATTTTCATTATGTTTTTATAATTAATTATTATTGTAACTGATAAGTAAGTATTGTATAATATTGATTAGTTAAATTTAATTGATGAACTTGCAGTTCATGCGGGGCAGGATATTATAAATTGATAGTTTGTGCCGTTAGGTGGGGCTACGAACGTCTTGTCTCTGTTAATATTCTGTAACTTAGTTTAGTTTGATTGAAGAACGAAGTGTTAAGCCTAATAACGATGAAGGCGTGTGCCTAATAATAATGATTGTAACCGTCGTATAATATTGCAAATAAAACGTGTGTGTATTAATAACGAAATGGAATGATCACTTACCTCTGGAATTAATGCTCTCTGATGGTAACGGTATTAGTTATTACAAATTAGATTCATAACGTCTAAAATTTCGTGAACAAATAAATTTTGCTCATTTCTAATCCCATGAACTCAAAACTAATTTTAAAAAGCAGTGGATTATACTTCTGAGATGCTGGAGTTCTTTTAAAAAGTAATTCTAGAGAACAGCGTTCCGTGTTTACCTCAAAAACTAAAGCCCTGATGCGCACGCATCATTTCTGTCGTCATACAAAGAGTTTTTCAATTTTTCGACTGGTATTAGAATTTCAGTTAATTTCTCAGTATCTGACTGTACGTGCGTTCAAAAGCATACTAATTAAACAAAAGAAAGAACTGAAATAGGCAACTTCTAACACGTCTCATTAAGCAATTAAGTAATGAGTTTTGCATATAAAACAATTGGCATTCTATAACTACTTTATCAAAATGAAAAACCTAATTTCTTACCATCATCAGTATTTACTGTTTCATAAAATACATGACCTTGAACGGCTGTAATAATTGCAGTTAAAAGGATGAGAACATAGCAATTCATTTCTAATTTTTTGCATTTACAGCTTCAGAGAGAATGAGTGGGCACTGGTAGCTAAAGGAAGTACTTCTTCTATCCAGTTTATCAATATTTTATTCTTTTCTTTTCTCTTTTTTAGACTTGTTAAGATAAAGTTCTACTTCCGTTAATTAGTTGCAAGCTACTTTATCAAACGGAGGACAGAGGTTTTTGGCATATGTTCTGGAGGATTTTGATTAAGGAAGTAACTGAAATTTAAAAAACATAAAAATGTAACTGGCAACAGTTTTTACACTGCGGAATAAATTATTGTCTTTCACCTTTTATAAGCTCAGACTTATTGACATAAGTGCAATTTGAATAGAAGGTTGTATTTTACGGAGAAAGAATTCCCATTTTTTCAACGCAAGAATGATATAACAATACTTGAAATAAGATAGCTGAGTGCACAATAAGCAACATGATTTAAAATAAAAGAAATATTCACTGTTCTCGGTCAGAAATGAAATGCTAATTATTTTATCTAAAAACGTTGCATACTTCAAAGTTCATTTCAAAGATTGAATTCTTTGCTTCTAAAACGATGTCCACCTACTTTGTGTGTAATACCATCAGCTTTTAAAATGATTTTTGTTGTCAAATTTTAATAGTAAGATTATTTGTATGAAGCAAAATGGAACGCATAAAAATAATACGTGGTTTTAAACAAATTAAATGTTAGATACTTTTAGGTCTATATCAGGTTCAGGTGTATTCCAGCTGTATTCCTCTTAATCCAAAGAATCTATGCAAATATTCTAGGAATTCCCAAAGTCAATTTCTAAATTGGAAAGAATTCCTTAATACCATGTAAACTGAAAAACTAAACATCTAAAATTTAGAATTTTGTTAAAGCAACGTATACATGATTATACTAAAAATTTATATGGTAAATCCATGATGGCAGTTTGAGTTGTTGTATTAGTTCGAGACCTAACAGGTATCTCTGCCGCTTCAGTTGAAACTTATACAGCCTTTCAACGATATTACTTAAAAAACGAAAAACAAAAATTTAATACGTTGCTTTAAGATTTAGATATTTAACTATAACAATATTTTTAAACTTAAACAAAGGAAAAAATAGAACACATTTTCCAGTTGTCAAAACTGTAAGAAATATTCGTCGGGGAAAACTGAAATGATTGGATTAAAAGTCTACTTCAGAATTTCAGTAGATACAGATCGGTTACGAATGAAGGAAACACAGCAATTAATTTCGGACATTTCTGGTTTAGTATATTCAGATCATACTAATTTACTAACAGTTAGTTTGTAAGGTATTTTCTCCCTCCTTACCTTTAGAGATAGGCAAAACCGCTCTCTTTTGGGATCAGATTAGAATCGTTCGCTCACTGAATTGAATCGGTTCATTTTGATTACTCACAAGCCAATAACAATAACTTTTATTAAAAAGATCGAGAACGAGGAGTGAATCAAAAATGGTTAAAGAAGATGGGACAAAGAGTCGAAAGAGCAGAAGGATCGCCAGAATCAACTCAGTCAAATGCTGACTAAAGTTTTGAGATTCTCTAAAACTTTCTTTCTACGTAAAGCTAACAGTAACTTTTAGAATTTTTTTTTTTTTTTTTTTTTTTTTTTTTTTTTTTTTTTTTTTTTCAAGTTTGCTAATGATAGAAATTAAACTCTTTTTTTAATAGGAAGGATAAGCATTCTTTTCTCCACTAAAATGTAAATGAAACTTTCCTGCCATATTTCCAGCAAGTGCTCTGGCTAGCTGAATTTAAAAGAGATAACGCTCTCTTATGAAGAATCAGGCCCTCGCTCTTCTAAAAACGTGAATCGGTCCTTTGAATCAGTTTGTGAAAGAATAGCCACAAGAAGCATCTCTTCTTACTGTACGCCTTTGTGATGTAATTAGAAAGCGCTTCAGGCTAGCAATTAGTTCGAATCCCGGGAAAGGGCACCGCACATTTTTCATGTCTCCTGCTCTGAAATAAAGTGCCTAATGGTCTCTACAGAGGCGTCCGTACTAAAAAATTGGTGGACAATAATTCATCATCGCCATTGTTTAGCGATTTGATCTCCTCCTCTCGATTCGCCTTTTAAGCGCGGATGGAAAGAATGTAATTGTGAGGTATTTTTCACTTCTTACCGCATGCCTTTGTGGTGTAACTGGAAAGCACGGCCAGCTAGCAATCGGAAAGTCCCGGTATGAGAGCCAGAAAGGGCGCTCCCCATTTTTCCCGTCTCGTGCTCCGATATAAAATGCTTAATGGTCTCTATAAAGCTGATAACAAAAACTCAATGGCAAACAGCTCACTTTCAAAACAAGATCTAATGCAAACCACGGGATAACTGGAACTTACTCCTTCATTCTGCCGCATTGCTGAGAAGGAATAATACAGCAGTGATCTCAGAGTACTGATACAGCTACGGAAGGTCTAACGGAAATCGATAAGCATTAAGAAATTATGCAGTTTCTTGTTTCACCCAAAGATATTGTAGTCTTGCGTGAGATTTGTTACTGAATCCCGACCTTATCATATCATAAGGGAGCATTCACACTATAATCTATTCGTTATTATATTCGTTATTTTAGTCCTAGAGAGTAAAATACATTAACTTCGTGCACATTTGGGGAAAAGGTTTGAGTTGTATACAGTCACGGAAAGTTAAGTTACACATGAGGGAATGTGCAGCTGGCTCAAACCGTCGACCGTATTCCACAAGTTCGTGTTTGCTTTTCCAAGCTTTTTGAGATGTTCCGATTTGTTCCGACGGTTAAAATTACATTCGATTTATTTTAATTTACGTTTGACGTAGAAATCCGATCTCGTCAACGCTTGAAATCATGGATATGCTAACAATGAAGGGTTAAACATATTAATTAAGTACTCCATCGCTGACATCAACTGTATGGCAACTAAAATCAACGGATGATTTTTGAAAAAACGCCAAAATTCGTTGAACAACTTGAGAAATTCTGAAAACCCTTCATTTGAAAGAATATTTTTCATTCTATCCAACGATATGACGAATGGAATTCTCTAATGAATAGTTTGATCATATAGCAAGGACACCTCAGAAAAATTCCGTGACCAATTTAAAAAAAAAAAAATTTGAATTTTGAAACTTTTACAGTGAAATATTGCATTTTCATTGGAAATTATATATATCAAACATTTTAAGAAATTCGGGTCCAAAGAGGTGGATCAAAAATTAATTTCAAGATTTGACCCAAATCAATCAGAATACAATAAACAAGTTAAAAAAAGCCATAAAAATAATTTACCATGCTCTTGACAAATTTTTATTATTATATATTGTTTAAACATTCCAGATTATGCACGTGTTATTAAGTCACGTACTTTTTTTGAGCTCCCAAATATTATACCATCATCGGTTATCACCGCTGCTTCCCCACACAATTTTCTTTTTCTTATTCCCAAAGAATGCTTCGTTTTACTCTGATGGTTTGGCATAATAATTTCCCTATTATTCCGTTATAAATAAAAAAACGTTTAGCTAAAAAAAAAAAAAAACAGAAACCGATTAATCCACCACCGGTTAATTGGAAGTTAATTGTATATACATTTGATCGCTATTCCTTCCAACCAATCATGAATTTGCATTATAAAGGAGGCTAGATGACACTGAAGTGTGCTTACTAAAAAAAAAGTCCAGAGTGCACAGTGGTTGTTTATTAAATTAATAGATAAAATATTTATTAAAACATAAAATTCTTGTAAGCAAAATGTGATATCAGCAGGCAGTTTTACATATAAGTTATGATTCCGCTTAATTAAATAAAACAAAAATGTCGGGACAAGGAATTATATATATATATATATATATATATATATATATATATCGCCATTGTATCGTCCTTTATGTTATGCAAAAAATGTTACAGCTCAGCCTGATGTCTTTACGAAAGGATTAAATCATTAAATCTCTATTCAGAATCTCGTGTTACTTGAAGACAGTTGTCTGGGTGCCATCCAGTGTCTCTAACCAAATAGCAGCCCTTAACATCAAACATCGTTTTTTTTTTTTTTTCCGCACCTAAGAAGATATTGTATTATTAAACGGAATAATTCACGGCTTCAAATTTATATTCTTCAATTTTTTTTAATTTACTATAATCTGAGTTACTGTTTTGATGTTAAAAAGATAAAAATGGCAAATATCTTTTATGCCGGCGATAAGAAATGTAAGTTTTAAAGTAAATAACTGCTTTTTGTTTTAAATTCAAATCGTAAGGATTAGTAAAATTTTGTCCTCAACTCCCCCTTTCCCCATTATTATTTTTTTTTTTATTTTAAACAACCAAATATCCAATTGAGATTTCAATTAATAATTCAGGATTATTAAAACTAACTGACCCGCTTCCAAAAATGATTTTAATAAAATGAAATTTTTCGATAAAAACAGCTTAAATTTGCAAGCCAATCCAATTATAACACAAAATCCCAATTTTTGCTACCTAAATCCTAACAAATTACCAAAAAAATACCGACTGTTTTAAAAACACTGTTTCTTTATATTTCAAACAAAACGAATTACTATATTAACTCCAAGGTTAACAAAACTAATTTAATTAGTCAAATAAGAATAAAAACAAAAGACAAGGTATACTCTGATAATGCAGTCTGATATGAACACTAATACCGCGGTATTAAACATAAAGCTACATTTTTTCCAATAATTAAGATTTTTAAAGCTTAAATACTATTCCATCTGTCCCATAATAACAGTCGCAGTTGATGAATTTAATTTGTCCCTTAATAATATTGGCAAAAGAAATAAATATAAAACGCAAATTTATTATCATGAAACTACACTGGTGTGCAAAAATTAAGGACGAGACGGTTTTTTTCAATATAACTTTGTACAAAAGCTTTCCAAATCAACACATTTAATACCGTAAGATCCCCAATACGTAAGGACATGAGTAATGTAAGCAACACTTACTAAAAGAGAAATCAGAGGGATAAAAAGAAGCTTTATTGAAAAAGTAGCATGGAGAGCAATGCGACTGAAGGCCGAAACATCCCTGTGATGGGTGTCCAGCAAGAAAACATCCGGTCTT